CCAAGGCACAGCTGATTGGTGATTCGGCATTTGAGAACCAAGGCGTTGGAGTACCAAGGAGTTTGAGAACCAAGGTACCACTGTACACAGTTCTTTATTTCTCCAAGCATATGTGGCATTTTTGTGCCCATATTATTTCAATGAAACCCTCGTGTTCCATGTATGAATAGAATGGCTGACCCTACTTTAATGTATGTGCTCCAAAGTCTCCAGAACTCCAGAAAAAAAACTAAGTGAAGCCTCTGACAGCCATGACAGTCAAACCACATGTTGACTTCTTCTTAATGTGAATATGTGCTGACCATCATGTGTGATCTTTCTAACAGGTACTTAACTGCAGCATGTGGTTGTTGTTTTTCATGTAATTGCAGGTGGCTAAGACAGAATGCTAGAACTGTGATATGTCATCTTCACATAACTTCATTGCTTTTTGTGCATTTCTTCACACACCCTGCAGATTGATAAGCAAAAAAACCACTTTGATTTCATGAAAACTGGATGTTGCATGAAAGATGTAAACAACATTGTGCACATTATGAAATGTGAGCTACCAAAAAGAAAAGGAGAAGAGTCAAACGTGATTGTATCACAGCACAGGTACTGTTTTGTTTTGTTCTTAGTTGTATTTGGGAGGAGGAAGGATTTGGCAGGGAGAAAAGTATTATCTTTTGTTCTGTAGTTTCCTCCAAATGGAGAGCAGAGGACACATTCGCCATTAATTTATTTCCCGCCCCCTGCACAAAACTGTGATTATGGGCTTTGGGAATGAGGTGTGAGGGCTCTGGCAGGGTCCTAGAGCCCTCCCTTCTTCTTCCCAAAGCAGGGCAAGTGCTTACGACACTTTGGAGAAAAGGCAGGAGGATTCTAGGACTCAGTCCAAGCACTCAGTGAAAATTATAGTGCAGAATCCAGAAAAATAGCTAGATTTTAAAATAAGGATGTGTCCATCTGTAAATTTTGCATTCAATTAAATGCAGCAGAAACCCATGTGCATTTACACAAAGGTAATTTCCACTGTGGAGAGTAGGGCTTACTCCTATGTAAGTCTTCACAGGATTACGGCATTAAGCATCACTTTTTTATCCTTATCATACCTACGGGACCGCCTCTCCTGGTATGTTCCACAGAGGAACTTATGGTCTTCAAATAAAAACATCCTGAAGGTCCCAGGCCACAGAGAGGTTAGGCTGGCCTCAACTAGAGCCAGGGCTTTTTCAGCTGCGGCTCCAATCTGGTGGAACGCTCTGTCACAAGAGACTAGGGCTCTGCGGGATTTGACATCTTTCCCCAGGGCCTGCAAGACAGAGCTGTTCCACCAGACCTTTGGTCAGGGCGCAGCCTGACTCCCTCCTTTGGCAATCTTTAAAGAACTTAAGCTTAATGGTTGCCATCAACTGGATTTTAATTAATTTTTATAATGAAATGTTTTTAGAATGTTGCACTATTTTATTGTTGTTAGCCGCCCTGAGCCCGGCTTCGGCTGGGGAGGGTGGGATATAAATAAAAATTATTATTATTATTATTATTATTATTATTATTATTATTGACTCTGTTCAATAAGGGACTAGCACTGTCATGTGATTTAACTATCATGTGACATTTATTAAAGTGGCCAAACAATTCTTGGATGACAACAGAACCTCCTTCCTGGTGCAAATAGTGTAGGAGGGGGGATCTGGATCAGAACCACAGTGTGGGCTAAAGTCCTATTTGCTCCACTTCATGCTCCTGATGTGGACTGGGACCCTCATGACTGCTATTTACTGAAAAGCAACACACATTTCATACAGCTGATAATTGTGTATTGAACATCACATGTGCTTTGGACCACAGTCTCCATTGGAAAGTAAGTCAGCAAATAGATCCTGTAATTTGGATGGACTCTAAATCTGCAATGGGAAAAAGTTTTGAGGAGGCCAGGCAGCAGCTATGCCATTTCCAGCCTAGCTTGAGAATCAAGAGCTGTTGTGTGAAATGCTGCAATAAAAACCACTTCCTGGCTCCTGTGGGTATCTTTAGACCAGCTGTCATGAGCATTTGCCCTCAGGGTCAAGAAAAGAAGCCTGGATAAAATAAAGCCTTGAATACAACGGTCTACATTCATTACAAAAAAATATTTTCATTATGTTTCCTGTGTGTAGAGAATTATTTTCTTTTATTACTCTAAGCTGGCTTTAGACATCAAGGGAGCCTGTAGCTGCTGGGGGCTGTCTTTAAAAGCCATTTTACAAAAAAAAGCCAAAATGAAAACAACGATGGAACATAATGAGTTTTTGATCCAGGGTTTCCATGAAATTTTATGAGGAAAAAAGTCTTCATTGTAATCTAATGAAAATATTGCCCCTTTCCCCAAATTTCATTTTCTCTAAAGAACCTGCATCACCTTGTCTTTTTTGTTTGTTCCCTACATAAAGGCAAGGATTGCCCTCATTCCACATTTTTTTCTGCCCCCTAGGACATTTCTTGTTGACTTCTTTAGATTGGATGCCTGCAGTTCTGAAAGACAGAACTGAGCAATAGAGTTGTCACAGCTTCCTCATAGAACCATAGAGTTGGATGGGACCCTGAGCCCAAGCTCCTCCAATGCAGTAATGCAGTATATTTGGAAATACACTGGTTCCTCGGGTTATGAACTTAATTAGTTCTGAAGATCCGTTCTTAACCTGAAACTGTTCTTAACCTGAGGTACCACTTTAGCTAATGAGGCCTCCCACTGCCGCCGCACCGCCATTGCCCGATTTCTGTTCTCATCCTGAAGCAAAGTTCTTAACCCAAGGTACTATTTCTGGGTTAGTGGAGTCTGTAACCTGAAGCGTCTGTAACCCGAGGTACCACTTTATAACTATGAATGTTACTACTCACTGCCTTCACTATGAGAAGCGAAGTTACCAAGCAGAGGGCCTTCTCAGTAGTGGCACCTGCCCTGTGGAACACCCTCCCACCTGATGTCAAAGAAATAAACAACTAGCGGACTTTTAGAAGACATCTGAAGGCAACCCTGTTTAGGGAAGCTTTTGATATTTGATGAATCATTGTATTTTAATATTCTGCTGGAAGCTGCCCAGAGTGGCTGGGGAAACCCAGCCAGATGGGCATGGTATAAATTATTATTATTATTATACTATTTTTTACAGAGTTTGCAGTGCATTTTTACAAGACTTTCATGGTGTGCTAATAGATTTGATTCCCCCCACCCCCTGTTTTGTACTTTTCATTCTAACTTCTTTGCAAATATCCATGTTTGACTGACAGTATTATGGCTCAGGAGACACTTTGAGCTAGAGTCTCTTACTTAAGAATTTTCTTCCCCATCATCTCAAATGTCATTTCTGAAACATTTATCACAAGGCGCTGTCATCGGACAAATAATAGGGCTGCACGATAGCAGATCAGATACCCGCCACCTTCCTACCCCCGCCCCTTTCTGTGACAGGTCCTACTGTTGGTGACTGGAGATAATAGGAGAGCGCAGATCTGTCAACAGATACAAAGGAAGGGCACAAGCCACTTTTGGAAATAGCGCCGCACATCCTTGCTGAAAGTGGGATAGATATCAGTGCTGAGGAAGTGCAGGTTGAAGGATAGATGGTGTTCCTTGGGAACTGATAGTACTGTTTGTATAACTCTCATTGACTTGAATGTGCTCCTGTGCAGTAGCATAAAAGATAACAGTCATGTGGTGCGTTTCTGGGAAAATTTACCCAATTCGTGCTCTCATGGAGAAAGGTCAAATTGAATCCTCCTCCTCTGTAAAGATTTCTGTGACTCTTGCTAAATGGGTTATTTCCATTTGATCTTCTTCTTTTGCAGGGTGGGTGGGTAGGAAATCACAGCCAGTTCTGCATGCGTTTTGCATGTTCTTTCCCATCATAACATGCCCAAAGAGTTGATCATGCCACCTGTGAATCTGAAGCCATTTGGAATGGTTATTTTTACTGCGTCCAAATATATTCGAGCCGACTTAACAAACAGAAATGAAGGTATGGACCCGTTCCTGACTGCCAGCATTTCAGGAAGGCCTGATGAATTACAGTTACAAGGAACAGGGGAGGGAATGAGATAAGGAAAGAGAAGGGAGGAAGCAACAAGATAACACAATTATTTGATTAAAGCACTAGCATGTTGTAATAGTTTAGTTACGAGGTTACGGTGCTGTGCTGCTAAATTTACCCTTGATTTTTATCGTGAAGAATGCAGACACACGCAGCAAACCAGGAGGGTCTAAGACAATCAGCTCTAAAATATGCTCTACAGATATGGGATCATAGGGAGGGAATGCCTGGTGGGAAAGAATGCCAAGACACTTGACATCACTTGGTCCTTATGTTAAGGCAGCAGTGGAAAAAACACACCATGCAACTATTTATAAAGGTTTTAAAAATAGATGTTTCATGTGGGTGGTTGTTTTCTTTGGAGACACAAGATCCCCACAACTAAGTAATACATTCAAAAGGATTTGTGGCTAATAATGAGGTCAGTGTCTGTTATTAACATGACAGGCTCAGCATGCTAATTCAAACAACGTCTACGTCTTCATAACAGCACAATGTATCTACTCCATACATTTTGGGGAGGGGCTTATTTAATGTATTCTTTAAGTAAAGGTAAAAAAGGTAAAGGTACCCCTGCCCATATGGGCCAGTCGTGTCTGACTCTAGGGTTGTGCGCCCATCTCACTTAAGAGGCTGGGGGCCAATGCTGTCCGGAGACACTTCTGGGTCATGTGGCCAGCGTGACAAAGCTGTAGCTGGTGAGTCAGCACCAGCGCAGCACACAGAAATGCCGTTTACCTTCCCGCTATAAATCGGTACCTATTTATCTACTTGCACTTAAGAGTGCTTTCGAACTGCTAGGTGGGCAGGAGCTGGGACCAAAAGATGGGAGCTCACCCCACCGCGGGGATTTGAACTGCCGACCATACAATCAGCAAGTCCTAGGCACTGAGGTTTTACCCACAGCGCCACCCGCGTCCCTGACATTCTTTTAAGTACCGTATTCTTTAAGTACCAAATTCATCTCCCAAAGCAAAGCCCATGCCATTTGTGTGTTGGATTCAGATGCATCACTTTAAATTTGATCTAAAATGCATATGGATTCTTTAAGTACCGTATGCATTTTAGATTAATTTTAAAGTGACACATCTGAATCCAACACACAAATGGCATGAGCTTTGCTTTGGGAGATGAATTTGGAAGGAAGTGTAGATTCTTCTTCCCCACTTTTTCATGCATACTATATTGTCCAGGAGTGCGGTCAAAATCAGGAGCTGTGACTCATATAATGGATGGTTCAGGTGCTCAGATAATGGGAAGGCAGCTTCTCAGAAAAGAGCAAGTTTCAAGGAGACAGAAATGCTCAAAGGCAAGAAGCAAGCAAGATTAAGCCAGGGATTGTCCAGGAGGTGAGCCTTCATCTCGCACCAGGAAACGCTTTCTTCTAAACCCCTTTTGTAAGGGTTGGGAGGTGAGTGGCTGATTTAATCAGCTGCTGCAGAGGCTTGGCTTTCAGAGTGTTTGTAGAGGGGTGAGTCAACCAAGCGAGCTCTTACAGAACCAACTAAACACTTGTCATGGCCCAAGTGCTGAAAGGATAAGCCTGAAGCCAATAGGGATGCAGTGAACAGCTATGGAGTTCATTTTAGGGACTGAAATCCCAGGGTCACAACTGCAAAAATGTCACTAAGATATAGTAGCCACAGTCAGTTAGTCAGTGGATCCATCACCATTATTTTTCAACAGTAGTTCCTGCCATGTGAGAAATTCCTCAATGAAACTTATTTGTGTAGGATAGGGAAAGACCTGCAGGAGCACAACTTGTGCAGCAACAGCCTGCTGTTTGGCACAATGGCCATCCCATCAGCAATTTGAATAGAGAGCTATGATGGACAATAGCCTGGCACCCTGAGCAAGCCAGTAAAAAATTAAAGGAAAGTACAAGGCTACCTGCTTCTAAAGCAGAAACATTGCACCATTAAGCCAGGTCTTCTGTTAAATGGAGGGGAAAGGGCAATCATGCAGGATCTAACTCAACATGTGGACTAGCATGTGAAATAAATTGTGCCCTTGTGAAAGGTGCATATTCACTTTTTGTTAAGTGGCCCAAACATGCAATGCCAATTTTTGTGAGGGAGCTGGTAGGAAGGAAGAAGAATGTTTCTTGCAGATAGACAAATTGTTTACATGAGAACCGTTCTTGCTGAGTTTTGCCTGTCACTAAGTTTGTTGGTTTCCTAGGAACAATTTTCAGAGGTGCATAGTAATATATATATATATAAAAATAGCAAACATACTTTTCAATTAGCAAGCATTTGGGGGGGGGATACACCTAGTTTTCCAGTCTGATGTAATGCAGCCATATTGCCTGCTTGGTGTCAGAAGAAGCTACTGGATACCTTGTTTTTGTTTTTTAAAAAAAGATGCAGTGGTTACTTTGAAAATGCAGCATATTTTTTTGGCACCTGAGTCCACAGAGCGATTCACCTTGTTAAGAGTGCAGTCCAACTTGGGCATGGGAAAACTTACCCCTGTTCGTCTTGTAGGTAATTTTGGAAGTACACAGCTATTTCTAGGCTTTCCTTTTAAATAGATTAGTTTATTTTGTATTTCTTCTAAGCTTCTATTTTTCCAGGGCTAATGAAAGCCCCTTGTACAAGCCAGTGCTCCTGAGCTCCCTCTATATGCAGAGTTTTCCCAACAGAAAAGCATTGTGGGAAGAGATGTGTTAGCAACTTGTTCTAATCCAGTTGTTACCTTTTCATGGAAGGAGGGAAGCTTTTTAAAAAAAAGACCAGACCTTCTAGTTTTCCAGGACTGCTAGTTCACTCTTTTGTATCTTTGCTATCCTCCTGGCAATAGCAATAGAGTCTGTGTCCATGAAGCCCAATATAATTAGTCTCATCCTTTGCACCTTTTCCTTTGGTGTGCTCCATCCCTATGGTAACAATAATTTCACTTTGTCACTTTGCCTGCTTTTGAGCTTGTGTTTACTGAAGCAAAGGCCGTGGATCTGGAATCTGATTAGGACAGATGTGCCAGAACTGTGTCTCTGAAAGCAGGAGTGGAGTTAGTGGGAGCTGTCTGACATAGCAGAAGGCCAGGATTGTTGTAGAGGTGCCTGCCGTGTTCATTAGGATGTCTCTTCCTGACTTTCCCAAGTGTGGTGCTGATGTTCTCCTCTGGTGGGGTTGTTCCTCAGCTGTGTTAGTGGTGAAATGTCATGAAGTCATGAGCACATCGGCAAAAGAAATGGGTTCATGAAAGCTAATTGCTTAAGTGAAATGACTGTCCAAAGCTTCCATGATGTGATTTTCAACTTCTGCAAAGAATATGGAGAAACCCAGGCTTGAAAACAAACTTTTATCAATCAGCTGTATAACTGCATTTTTATTTTTATTTGAAGGATATGATCTGCCCAAAGTTAAGCACATTCCATGTATGCCCACTGATTTCAAAGAGGCAGGTAAAGTGCTTGCTTCACTCTTTCTCATGGTGGCTGTGGAGGAGGCAGCGAAAGAGCTATAAAGTGGAGGGGGGAAAGGGGATGGCAGTGGGGGGCTGAGGCGGCTTGGGCAGGCAGAGGGCAGGCAGGCGGTGGCAGTAAAATGGGGGTGGTGGATTTTGGTAAGAAAAAGTTTGAGGGTATGCCATGAGATCTTCTTACTATTCAATAGTTAAACCTGGACAACCGCATTTTTGTTCATCCAACCCAAGATAAGATTCAGAGGAATTTGCTTCTGAATAATGATGCTTAAGCATCAGCTGGCCTTCCAAATACCTTTTATCTAAGTTAATTCACACAACTACTGAGAGTGTTAAGGACCCTTCCTTCCTTCCTTCCTTCCTTCCTTCCTTCCTTCCAACTTGGATCACAGATTGTTCAGTGGGGAGCATGCGATTACTTCCTCTCATAAAGTCTTGAGTGATTGAGCCTGTGGTAGTGCATGGTACCTTTCCATGACCTGAGCTTTCTTCTATACTGGGGAATATTTGCTTGACGATAAAAACACATTGTATCACTCTCCTTTTCCTGCTTACCACTATCTTCTTTTTTGGAATAATCATCCTTTCCAACTATAGTCCAGTCAATGTTGTGGAGGAAAGAAGTACATAACGTTCATCCATCATTTCAGTTTGGTAAAATAAGAACTCAGATAAGCAGACAGGTGGGAAAGGGAAATATGTAAGTGCATGTACAGACTTTTATTATTATTATTAGAATTGCTACTTTTTTCTTCTTTAGCAAAATTTCAGAGGGTATATTGAACATTTCATTGTTACAAAGCAGGGATAACTTGAAAAGCTAGAAAGAGGCGGGATGTTCATATTTGCCGTTATTTAGGTATTGGGTAATTGAAAGCACATTATTTAACACCTTATTTAGGAACTCTTCCTGGTTGCTTGTAATTCCATCAGGCCGCAGTTCCTCAACATCCCATTAGGCTGCTGGAGAGGGTAAGATGGAAACAGAAACCCTATCAGCTCCTCTGAGAAGCCAGCTTCATAAGATGTTTCCCTCCCGCATCTGTCCTCCACAGCAGCTATCCTACCAAGCTAAAGAACAGGGAGAAAAGGAAAATAGGGCAGCTCCACCAGAACTGCTTCTGTTCTCCTTGAAATGGTTCCATTCCAGCATATACCTGTAAAAACTTTGTAACTAAGAACTAGTGCCTGACTTTTCTCTCTCTCTTCTCCTTCCCAATCCCTTTTCCTCTTGTGCCATGTCTTGTCGATTGTAAGCCGCAAGGCAAGGACCATCTTATTATCAATCTTTGTAAGTTACCGTGGGAGCTTTATTCAGATAAAGCCCAAGGTTAAATGTCTCAGACTAACAAACGAACACTATCACATGCTTGCAACATATTTTCATGTTTTGATAATATGGGGTATATCTTATCTTTCTCTTAATGGCTAAATGCAGGAGCCTTGAAAAATGGCCATGTGTGTAGGAGGGAGGAATGAATCTGACAATTTTGGTGACTGTCTGTTTCTCTTTTTTCCAATCTTAAGTTTAGTTCTTCACATTTCTGCATCAGTTTGTGATATTCTTCTTCAAGTCCTCATAAAAATTCAACAGCTTCTTAGAACAATTTGTTCCCAATATACACGTTTTATGCCATTTGGCCTAATACACTCATTTTTACAAAGCAATTTTCCTTGACATAATGTATCTTTGTAGGTTAGTTTTTTACTAATATATGCATTTGTGTACACATTACTCGGCTGTGAAAACTGCAGTGCAAAATTAGGAGAAGTGTGAATTTTGAAGGACGGCTATTTCAGTTCACATATTGTTTCGGAAAGTGTGGAGTAAGTAAGTTTGCCTTTAAATGAAAATTGAAGCACCGCCCCCCATCAAATCTCTAGTGTGCAGTGAACCTTGTTAGTTCTACAGCAGGAGTTGCAACCCTCAGAAGCACTATGGAGAAGTTTATATCTTAGGAAAATAAAACTGAATCACCAGCTTGTCTCATGTGACTCATGGGGGCATTTTAATAATGCTTACAATATAAACATACGATATACAATATACACGCCACCCCAGCACTGCTCAAAGGGTTCTGACCAAAGGGAATATTATTATATTATAGAAAGTGAATGCACAAATGGCTTGTGAAATGTGGAGAGTGTGTTTGTGGGTATCTGCTGCAACAAAATAGACAAGTGTGAACTGTGTGCAACTCACTACAAAGGAGGTTAATGTGTGCAAAAAAGATCATTCATAGAATCATTCATGCAAGTCATTTGCACACCCATTTGCACTTTCCACTTGTGGGGGGAAATTCCCTTTGGGGGTTTGGTGTAAAAGCTCACACCAGGTTCCCAAGTGGTCAGACTTTATTGAATAATGCATTACAGGAAAGAGTGCAAAGAGTCTGTGAGATCTTTTCATTATGACTCATGCTATACAGTGGTACCTCTAGTTACGAACTTAATTCATTCCGGAGGTCCGTTCTTAACCTGAAACTGTTCTTAACTAGAGGCGTGCTTTCGCTAATGGGGCCTCTTGCTGCCACTGCGCCGCCGGCACACAATTTCCGTTCTCATCCTGGGGCAAAGTTCTCAACTCAAGGAAACTCTTCCAGGTTAGCAGAGTTTGTAACCTAAGGGGTTTGTAACTCGAGGTACCACTGTATAGGGGGAAAAGACACCATATTGGTTGTTTCCCCCTCTCCCCAACCACCTTCTGCTACCCTATTA